ATTATTATTATTATTATTATTATTATTATTATTATTATTATTATTATTATTATTATTATTATTATTATTATTATTATTATTATTATTATTATTATTATTATTATTATTATTATTATTATTATTATCATTATTATTATTATTATTATTATTATTATTATTATTATTATTATTATTATTATTATTATTATTATTATTATTATTATTATTATTATTATTATTATTATTATTATTATTATTATTATTATTATTATTATTATTATTATTATTATTATTATTATTATTATTATTATTATTATTATTATTATTATTATTATTATTATTATTATTATTATTATTATTATTATTATTATTATTATTATTATTATTATTATTATTATTATTATTATTATTATTATTATTATTATTATTATTATTATTATTATTATTATTATTATTATTATTATTATTATTATTATTATTATTATTATTATTATTATTATTATTATTATTATTATTATTATTATTATTATTATTATTATTATTATTATTATTATTATTATTATTATTATTATTATTATTATTATTATTATTATTATTATTATTATTATTATTATTATTATTATTATTATTATTATTATTATTATTATTATTATTATTATTATTATTATTATTATTATTATTATTATTATTATTATTATTATTATTATTATTATTATTATTATTATTATTATTATTATTATTATTATTATTATTATTATTATTATTATTATTATTATTATTATTATTATTATTATTATTATTATTATTATTATTATTATTATTATTATTATTATTATTATTATTATTATTATTATTATTATTATTATTATTATTATTATTATTATTATTATTATTATTATTATTATTATTATTATTATTATTATTATTATTATTATTATTATTATTATTATTATTATTATTATTATTATTATTATTATTATTATTATTATTATTATTATTATTATTATTATTATTATTATTATTATTATTATTATTATTATTATTATTATTATTATTATTATTATTATTATTATTATTATTATTATTATTATTATTATTATTATTATTATTATTATTATTATTATTATTATTATTATTATTATTATTATTATTATTATTATTATTATTATTATTATTATTATTATTATTATTATTATTATTATTATTATTATTATTATTATTATTATTATTATTATTATTATTATTATTATTATTATTATTATTATTATTATTATTATTATTATTATTATTATTATTATTATTATTATTATTATTATTATTATTATTATTATTATTATTATTATTATTATTATTATTATTATTATTATTATCATTATTATTATTATTATTATTATTATTATTATTATTATTATTATTATTATTATTATTATTATTATTAATATTATTATTATTATTGTTTAGTTTCACAGTGTCTATGTTGTAAGGGTACACTGGTTTTATTAGGTTTGGACCGAAAATACACCGTATTCCTTGGGTCGCACCTATCCTAACACTCTGCGAATGATGTGTGCGCTTCCTAGTATTGCATTGGTTTGGAGCTGTATAATAATATTATGGTTTCCCCTAATTTTATTCAAATTACGCTCTAGTCTGTTTGTAATTGCACCGGTAGCGCCAATGACAACCGGTATAATCTGGGTTTTGATGTTCCACATCCTAGATATTTCTATGGCCAGATCTCTATATTTTAGATATTTTTCTGCCTCTTTTTGAATTGCGTTGCTATCGGCTGGAATTGCAATATTTATTATTGTACACAGGTTGTTTTGTCTATCTTTAATTATTATATCAGGTTTATTTGCTGTTATGTGCCTGTCTGTTTGTATTTCTTGGTTCCATAGGACCGTTACGTTTTCATTTTCAATCACTTGTTCAGGGCAGTGATGGTACCAATTCTTGGTCACTTCAGCTCCAATGTCCTTACTTATGCTGTAGTGTACTAACTTTGCTACATTATCATGTCTCTTAATGTATTCATTTTTGGCCAATATTGGGCAGTTAGACAGAATATGACTAATTGTTTCGTCCTTGGTGTTACATATTCGACATTTGGGATCTACTGTCTGTTTCAGCACATTTTTTGCGAAGTACCTTGTGTTAATGGCTTGATCTTGAGCTGCTATCAGTAAACTTTCTGTTTCCCCTTTTATGTTTCCTTTGGTTAACCAGCTGAATGTATGCGTCTTGTTTATTTCTGGTTGTCCTTCATTTTGCCATATATATTGTCCGTGCATGACTTTTTCTTTCCAGCTAGTTGTGATTGCTGCGCTTAGTTTAGATTTTATTTTACGTTTACTTTTTTCCACACTTTCTATTGGGTTATACTCTAGCTCTAAAGATGTTCTGAGTTCTGCTGCTAATTTAGTAATTGATCTTATTTTTGGTAATTCTTTATCATATTCTTTGATGACATTTATAAACCTATTTGTATTATTCTTCAACAAATATTCACTCATATTGAGCATGGTTGCTTTAAATGCTGCTTCTATCTGTTGTAAACCTCGACCTCCTTCTTTTCTAGATACATATAAGCGGTCTACATCAGCTCTAGGATGCTGCATTTTATGCATAGTAAGAAGTTTTCTTGTTCCTCTGTCTAGACCTTTAGTTTCTTCCAGTCTCCAATTTATTACACCAAAACTATATTGTAGAACTGGGAGGGCCATTTGATTTATTGCTTTTATTTTATTTCTGCTATTTAGTTCTGTGTTTAAGATCATACGTACTCGTTTTCTGTATTCTTTCTTTAGTTGATCTTTGATTTTTTTGTGATCTATCCTCTCTCCTTCCTCTATGCCTAAGTACTTATAGTTTTCTTGTTCTTCTAACTGACGGAATTGAAACTCACTTTCAACGATGTTACTTTTCTTTTGTAGTTTACCTCTTTTAAATATTGCTTTTGCACATTTCTCTATCCCGAACTCCATTTGTATATCATCGCTGACCTTTTTGACTGTTACCAGCTGTTCTTCTAAATCCGTTTCAGTTTTTCCGACTACTTTCAGGTCATCCATATATAACAGGTGGTTAATTTTTGTGTCATTTAGTTCGAAGCCGGCTCGCATTTTGTTAAGTTCGATGGATATCGGGATGAGTGATATACAAAACAGAAGTGGTGAGAAAGCATCGCCCTGAAATATGCCTCGTCTTATTTGTATACTCGGGGTTATGATAGTGTCGTGTGGCAATTTTAATTGAGCCTTTGTATTCCACTGCTTCATCATGTTCTTACAAGCTGTTATTACTACTGGGTGAACTCCTATTACCTCCAAGCTTTTTAGGATCCATGAATGGGGTACACTATCATATGCTTTTTTGTAGTCCACCCAAGCTAGGGTCATGTTCCGTTTTCGCTGTCTACATTCGTCTAATAAATATTTAGATAATATTAATTGATCTTTGCATCCTTTTGTATTTCTACTGCATCCTTTTTGTTCATCAGGCAATAAAGAATTTGCATACAGACACTTTTGAATTCTATTTGTAAGAATTGTTGTGAGATTCTTATAAATGGTGCAGAGACAGGTTATGGGTCTATAATTCTTTGCTTCTTTGGTGTTGTCATTTTTGGGCAATAGGTAGGTGATCCCAGTTGCTAACCACTTAGGAAACGTGTTTGATTTTAATATTTCGTTATATTTCTGTGCCAGATTGGCATGTATTGATTTAAGGTTCTTCAACCAGAAGTTGGGGATCAAATCAGGCCCAGGCGACTTCCAGTTGGCTGAGTTTTGGAGTGCTCCCCTTACTTCGTTTTCTGTTATATTCTGCCAAGCCATTTTCTTGTTTTTATAATTATCCTCAAATCACTGGAGCCATTCTGCTTTTTCATTATGTTTTACCTCGTTACTCCATAAGTCTGTCCAGAAAGACTCAATTTCTGCTTGTTGTGGGAATTCTTTAGCTTCGATCTTCTTTTCCCTTAATGATCTATAAAACCCTTTGGGGTCCGCTTCATATCTTTTATTGTATGAGAATTGTTTTTCTCTTCTAGTGTATCTATGTAGTCTCTGGGTTCTGACAGCTATTTTTTGCTTTAGTTCTTCCTTTATAGTGTGTTCTTATATTGTACTTTTGAATTACTTTGTTCATTTTTAAATTGTACTTAGATCTTAGTGCTTTAATATCTGATAGTCTCGACAAGTCTTGTCTTAGTGATTGTATTCTGTCTGCTAATCTTTTCTTCCATTCGTTTCTTTTTCCGTTTTTACACTTGTTTCGGTCTTTGGGTTTAATTGTAAGTACAGTTTCTGTTATTACTGTAGCCGCTGCGTATACCAATGTGTCAAGTTGGGCAAAATCTAGATTGTTGCTGTTCAGAAATTTACTGATGAATAAGTTTGCTTCTTTAATTAGTCTCCGTATTTTGCAGTTCAATTTTATTTTTGGTAGTCTGCTCCGTGCGCTGAGCTCCATTATCTTATATTTATTATAATTCTCAATGATCTGTTTTTCGAGTGAGTTGTCGGCACTTACATTGCATTTATCTCTGAGTTCCACGTCGTTTTCTTCATTGGTTGGGCTCTCGTCTGGTTGATATTCGTTCACTGCTGTGTCAGCATCGTTTTCGTGATTTTCTCCTTCAGCATGTGTTTGTACTGTTCCTCTGACATCTCTTATTATATCATCTATTTCAGTGTGAACTAGCTTTTGGTTCTTAACTATATAGTTCTTTTGTGTTAATAACTTTTTTGCATCTATATGGGGTCTGATAGTTGGGTTTCGTCTTCTCCATAACTCGTAGACATTTTTATAATTTTCGTTTGTATTTTCTTTACAATACTGGTAGCACCACATCAATTCCCTCATTTCTTGTTTGGTCCAGGTAACCTTCTTCGGGTTATTGTTTATTCTGACATGACCTGGCTCAGCACTGACTTCTACCGTTGGTCCGTGTTGAGTTACCTAGGTACGGTCACCTTCAATAGATTCTTGAGCTTCGATATCGTTTCTTACTTTAGTAGCGTTATCGGATGTAACTGATATATGTGAGGGATTTCTTCTCAGAGTCGCTGTCCTTAATAAAGGAGCGCTCCTTCTTACTACTGTCAAGGTGCCCTCCCCAGAATCCGTAGGGCTGACTGCCAAAACAGCACAGGATTGTGAACCACTGGTTCTACCTGCCTGGAGTACTTTTCCATTTCGTTTTATACTTGACATCATGGACAATTTAATATTCTTTTTTCTTTATCCTGGCTTTAATATTATATAGCCAGCTATAGGATAAGGGATATCTTTCAGGGAAAAAGAAAGGGTAAGGAGTAATTTTGATTGTAATAGTAAGGGAGTGGTCAGAGGACAGCGGGCAGCTGCTCCAGTAAGTCGCCTTTTACGACAGGCAGGAGATTCCGTGGAGTTGTTCTTCATAGTCGGCCCGATCTCCACACGGGGATTATTATTATTATTATTATTATTATTATTATTATTATTATTATTATTATTATTATTATTATTTGTCAATAAGCTCGCAGTAAATGCGGTTATAGCTTCCCTACGGGCTAAAAGCCAAGGTAAAGGAAGTCGCTATTGTGGAGTGTTGTCGTTGTAAAATCTCCTAACGATGTTGCACGTATCTAGGATTGTTGCCCGTTGCATATTTAGATACAAATTTTCTTCTACATTGAGAACCTTCAGACTCTTTTTAAGTGTTTTAGGTATTATAGCCGTGGCTGACAACACAATTGGCACTATAAGTACTTGAGTGACTTCCCAAATGCGCTGAATTTCAATAGCTAATTCGGCATATTTGGTAATTTTTTCTCGGTATGTATTTTGCACATTATGGGAGCCTGGTATTGCGATATCAATTAGGTAAGCACACCTGTTCTGTTTATCTACCA